TTTTTTTTGTGTTGGGATTGGTCAGAAAAAAATTATAGAAATCACAAACATGTGAATTCATTAATCTGAAATCTAAACAAAATACATAGATATGCCAAAGATTCAGATAGACAAAAAAAACAACCCAAAAACAACCGATACAGTATTCTAAACCAAAAACACAAAGAGGTCCGATTCAGAATTCTAAACCAAAAACCCAAAGACTACCGATACAGAATTCTGAAACAATAGTCAATACAGAATTCTGAAACAAAAAAGAGTAGTCAATACAGAATTCTGAACCAAAATATAAACTCCTAATATCCGAAACCTATTTCACTTGTTTCCCGGGTTTGATGGAGGAGCTGGCCTTGGAACCTGAAATACTCTACCCATATATGGAGTAACAAATATCATGGAAGATGTATTTCGGTTACGCGGTCCTCCAAGAGGTCGAGTTGATCGATAACGAAGACGTTGTGAAGTTGAAGGACCACTCTGGTTAGATTGGACAGAAGGCTGATTACTCTTCGCAATTCTTTGCATTGTTTGTCGCCTGATACTTTCCAGCATGTCAATCATAGGTCTCATACGTGCTTCTTTGATTGACCCATTGAAACTCTCCGACAAATTGTTGTTTACATCATCACACTTGGAGTCAAGACTAAAGAACGCTCGTGCCCATTGTTTCGGCCTAGAACGGATCAATGCCTCATATGCCAGCTGATTATAATTCTTTACAGCTTCCATATGCTTTTGAAACTCACCCTCATGGAAACTGTTAGCAGCTGCCCAAAACAATCTCTTGAGCTCCAAATCTTTGAATGACTTCCTCCAATTGGCATATATGTGTCGAGTACACATACGGTGATGAGCAAATGGAAGTATATTCTCAATAGCATTTAACAGACCCTGAAAGCAAATACAAAACCAATAAAATATAATGCATGTTCAACATATTACATATAATGAAATAAAATAAACACAAACTTTACCTTCTGTTTATCTGAAAGTATAGTAATATTGTGTCCTTCCCCCAAGTCCAAGTCTGCTTGTAATTTACGTACAAACCAAGTCCAACTATCGGTATCCTCCACGCGTACAACTGCCCATGCTATAGGATAAATCCGGTTGTTCGCATCTCTTCCAACAGCAGAAAGGAGTTCTCCTTTAAGCTCCCATTTCAAAAAACATCCATCTAACCCGATCACAGGACGACAATGTTTCTTTCAAGTCTCACGTAAAACCTCGAAACATACATAAAATCGATCGAAAACGAGTACACCTTTCTCAAGTTTTGTCACAATTTCAGTAGTTGTGTTGAGATTTGATCTCTTAAGCTCCGCTTCATAATACCATAACTTTGCAAACTGAACTCGTTGATCCTCCATTAACACTCCTAACGCAATCTGCCGAGCTTTGAAACACTTTGATATTGACACAGTCATCTCACAAGCTGTTTGCAAATCATATTGCATCTGAGCAGCAGGGTATGAAGGTTGTCTTCTGAGCATTTCGGTAAACATGGCTGCGATGTGCCTCATCGTCAATAGTGATGCATATCCATCTTTCGTGTGGTTGTGATCCGGGTTATATGTTTTTATCAGCCATTTATTAAAACGGCCATCTACTGAACAATACACTCGCCACGGACAAGTCTTCGTACCACACACAACAACATACTTCGTCTTCTCCGATCTCGATATTCTAACGTTATATTTAGTACTCAACATGTATTGGAAAACAACATCTTTAAATTCCTCAACATTGTTGAATGTCTTACCAAAGCTTATATGATCCTCTCCTTCAACAGATAATCTTTTTTTCAGACCGCCTAAGTTAGGCTTTTCAAAAGACTCCCACTCATCTGCTGTATTTTCTGGTGTCCGAGGATAAACATCATCTTTATTGGCATTATCCTCATCACTGATGTATTCAGCAGGTTGTTCATATGATGACCTTCTACAAAAATCATTTTCTTCATCCCCATTTTGAATCTCTTCTTCTACAATGTAATACCCCGAATCCCGATTTAATATTTAATTATTTAAAAATAAATAATTAAATAGAGATGTCATGAAATCACCAAAAATAAAGAGTACAATGCCGAGGAGAGGCACGAAGATCGACACACGCGGGAAGGATCGGGAAGGAACGAAGAAGAAAAAAAAAAGGAAAAGAAAAAAAAATAGAGCCTGGTCCGCCGGACCAGGCCTGGTCAGCGGCGGACCAAGACTCCGCCGGACTCGGGCCGGACAGGCGGACTGGGAGAAGAAAAATCGAAAAAAAA